CAATCAATCAATCAATCAATCAGTGTGTGTGTGTAGCAAAACGGGAAAAAAAAGAAAAAAGAAAAAAAATGGCTTTGTTTTTTTTTTCCATTATTATCGTTTTTGTTTTTTGTTCCTTTCATATTTGCATATCTAGGGGAAAAAGAAAATCAAAGAAACAGGTGCACCATTAAAAGGGCCTTTACCCGATTCTGCCCCTGTTCGACGAAAGCAACATATTGGGGTTCCTCGCCCAGAGCCCAATTCATGAAAGCAAATCAAAAGACATGTTCTCTGGGTAAAAGGTCACTTCCTCACTAAAGCAAAAGACATTGTCAAAGGTCACAGTTGGGTCACATCTGTTCATCCAGGAGGTGTGCAAGTCATGCCTATTTATGCAGAGATGTGTCTGTACGTGCAGTCAATGTGTCTGTTCGTGCAGCAAAAGTGTCTGTTCGTGCAAAGGATGTGTCTATCTAAAAAGAAGTCAAACAGATAAGTCCTAGTTCAGATTCAAGTCAAGGGGGAAGTCTAAATACAGATATGCAGTCCGAAATTGAGGCCTACAGGCCGCAGCAGTTGCAACCCTTGAAGGAAAGGAGTCTGGGATACATTCCACAGAGGCTGGGACTGGGAAAGGACCTAAGACAGACCGAATTTAGCCCTGGTTTGGGGAGGCCAGCACTATAAGAAACGAGACTGCCTCCCCACAAGGCAGATTTCCAGATGCATTGATGCGTGGAAGTGTTGAGGCACTTGTGCTCTATAGTGCTGGGAAAGGCACTGCCTGAAGAAGAGCTGCGCCAGGAAGAAGGGAGGCTGGGCGCTGGCTGCAGAGAAGCCATAGCTGCGCCAACTGATAATAGTAGTAGGGAGTTAGTAAATAGGATATCAATGAGTAACATTCAGAGTAGATCTTCGTAGATGAGAGTGTGCATGCATAGTGAGGTGAGAGAATGAAGACATAGTTCTGGAGAAAGAGAGAAGAGATCAAGAGAGAAAGAAGACAGGGAGTGAGTCTGGACATAGTGGACACTTACCTGTTGGCGCCACACTTGTGATCTGAAGGAGGACGCTGGCTGAGCCAGGTCTCACGTTGTTGTATGACGAGGGAGACTTACCTCTTGTTGGCGCTGAACTCTGGAACTCATGATACTCTGTGACGGACCCGCCGGGATGGCGGTCCGTCAGGATCAAGACGAAGGGACGAGGATGGGGGAGATGGAGATGGAGCTGGAAGGGACAGCGCAGCTCCAACGCAGACTCAACACGCACGTACTCCAATCTGTGCAAATGAAGAATGAGCCACAAAACAGACCGCAGCTGGGGTATACCCCCAGAGGACTGACTGGACTGGACTGRACTGGCCTGGTACCGACAGTGGTACCGGGCAGGACTGGTCTGGACTGAGTAACCACACGGCCTGTGGGATCAGGCCGGGATCAGGCCACGGCCTGGTCCCACAGGCCGAAGAGGGAAAATGGCCAGATAGGCCCTGGCTGTAGGCCAGGGCAGACAGAGGCCCGCTGCATACTCTTTGTACTAATTGACATTGATAATATAAGCTGCGCTACTTGTTTTTATCTCATCTCCATCTTGTTTTGTGTGAAGCCATTTTATATGTGTGATGACATGTATGCATGTGGAATGATGCTCTCAAGCAAGCTGTGAACAGTCAGGTTCCTTGCACCATGATTATCCCACCAGCAATCAGGAAAAAAATGGAAAAAAAAAAAGTTCCCTTTTTTTTAATATGTTTCTTTTCATTTTTAATACGTGTGTTTTTCGTTTTCTATTTAAAAAAAAAAACACAAAGAACATCAAACAAAGTTAACAAACTAATAAAAAAATGGGGCAACCCCATATGTTTTCATTTTTTTTTTCGCCTATCATTCTACGAATTAATAATGACGTTTTTTTTTTGGCCGCACTTGGCCCCAGCGGTTGGCCCCCGCAGGCATGATCATGGCCGCATGCGGCCAAAAAGGCTGCGGTCATGACCGCGGGTGATAGATAGCCTTCCTCCCCTGTCCTTGCTTCCTTGCCTTTTGGCTTATTGTGCTTCCTTTCCCCGTCTTGTGGTGTTTATTTGGTCATGTGTGTTCCAGTTCCCCCGCAAAGTGCAGTGGGAGCATGGATGGTCATGTAGTCCGGCATAGTCATTCCCCACCTTCCTGTATAGGTATCATCGTCTGCACCACGCCTACAAGTTCTTGTTCCTGGTTGTTCCTGAGCATGGTCTTGTAGTCTGGCATAGTCATTCCTCACCTTCGAGTACCGGATGTGTCTGCACCACGCCTACAAATTTTAATTCTTAAGGTGCCGATATATTATTCCGGAGGTTGATTACGGTATCATGCCGCAAACGTGTCATATTATGCGGTTCACACACTTTCACACACACACACACACAAAAGCAAGCCTGGCAGTGTATATTTTCATGTTCTAGCAGTGAATTCATTCGATTTTGCTCATCCTATCCATGGGCGTACCATGAGGCCAGCCCCGAGGTTGGGGACTTACCTGTTTTCTCTCTCTCTCTCTCTCTCTGTCTCTCTCTCTCTCTCTCTCTCTCTCTCTCTCTCTCTCTCTCTCTCTTTTGTGCACGTGTGCGCAACAACATGTGCATCTGACTGCTCCTTAGTCCATACTCATACCGGGATTTCTTTTCACTCACCAACTGTACGAAATATGTTGGCCAAACGTACGAAATATGGATGAATCTCCGCTTGGAACATGGGAACATACACACTTGTTGTTTTTTGGGGGAGATGGTGTTTTCTTTCCCGTTCTATTTCAGGGTTTTTCTCTGGATGGTGTTTCGTGCAGGCGTAGCCTGCGGGGTCCGCTTGTTCCTCAAACAACATTAGCGTATCTGAAGGCTTGAAAGAAAGCAATAGACGAATTAAGGAAAAAAACAGGTTCGTTGACGTCCAATCAACATTCACACATAATCATAGGGTACCAAAGGTCACTGCCATAGATCTGGCATGCAACGTCTACAACAAGCTGGAAAAAAAAAAGAAAAGAAATGAGTAGAAAATGGTCCATCACACAGTGAATTGAGACTTGGCAGCAACCAACGACATGACTAGTGCAGGAAATGCATGTTAACTTCCATCAAATAACCCAGCTTCGCACATACCAAAAAAAAAAAAAAAAAAAAAAAAAAAACTCTAACTCAGCCCTTGCCTTTTTCAATAACTCAGGTCCATCGTCACTACAGAAAAAAATATAACTAACTCAACCTTGCTTTTACCAATAACTCAAGTCCATTGTGACCAACTAATAGCCCCTGCATAGACATTCCTCGTTCATATTGTCGACCTACCCATTAGTGCATCTATCACCGTGTCGGTCTGATGACTTTGATTTGTACCTACCACAAAGCCACAATAATCACGAAGTGCATTCACGGCTATGGCAGAAAATGACAGTACCAAGCCTGTACCAGCCGCCTGTCCCTCATACTCCCCTCACAGTCGTGAACCATTCCACAAACACTGATTATAATTATACTACCCTGGGCAAGTGATTCAGTTCATACACATTGTTTGGTAGCTCACGCATACAGCATCCCCCAGACTACCTTCTTCCCCCGAACATAAAATTTAGGGCCACTCAAATAGAACGCATATGTGCTGTATTCGAATAGAACGCACCATGTGCGTTGTAGTCATGTACAACGCATATGTGTTATGCTCGAGGGAAGAAGGTAGCCGGTTAGCCCCCTACTACAGCCGCTCTACCCCTTTCTAGGGCGAAGAAAACCGAACTCGCACTACGGGCCCGGTGGGATGGCAAGTGAGTCCTTTGCAGTACATACTGGGATAGTTTCCCTTGTCTATAAATAGTCCAGTTTAGGCCGTAACACGGGATAATCGGTAGAAGGCGCCCACACCAAAGTTTCCCTTGTCTATAAATAGTCTAGTCTAGGCCGTAACACGGGATAATCGGTAGAAGGCGCCCATGCCAAAACCTTTTTCGTTTTGGCCGCCCAAAGTTTAGCCGTTTGGTACTACCGGCCCAATGACTTGCATGTGGGGTACTACAGGCCCACGCGTCGCTCCAAGGGCGCTCCCGGATCATGAATCTGGCGCATAACATTTCATTTTGATGTAAAAGAGGCCGGGGGTAACCCTGAAGTATCGAATGAGGCCCACCCGGATCATGAATCTGGCGCATAACAGAGCCAGATTCATTTTGATGTAAAAGAGGCCGGGGTAACCCTGAAGTATCGAATGAGGCCCAGGTACGCTATTTTGAAAAAGAAGGGCCCTACAGGTTCATGAATCTGGCGCAGAAACAGCGCCAAATTCTTGAACCGGTAAGAACAGGCCCAGGGAGATGTGGCCACAGCGCGAAGGCGCCTTTCACCCAGGGGAAAGTTGTTTGGGCGGGTAGTACCAAACGACCGAACTTTGGGCGGCCAAAACCGACAAGGTTTTGACGTGGGCTCTTTCTACCAATTAACCCCCGTAACACCGTTCCATCTATACATAGTCTATCTAGTCTGGGCATAGTCTAGGCCGCAAGCCCGGTCCGACTAGTTGTTCGCCTATGGGAAAGCCGCAGGCTTACTCCATCTACATTGGGCAGATTGGCAATTCTACGACGCGTCTCTGAATCCAGCTCTTCCTCGAAAAAGCATACGATCCGCACCTCCTGCGCCGCCTCTGCGCCAAAGTTCACCAGAAGCCATCCCCTTATGTGTGATTGAGCTCCCTCCACAGCCTCAACAATAGAATCTGCTGTGTCCAAGCTATCTGCAGGCCTGTACTCTAGAAGAAGCCCTGACCAGTCACTATCAGTTTTCCCCATCAGATTCTTCCTTAATTCCGAGAGCTGTGTGGATAGCGCCTCTGCTACTTCCTGTCCGTGGCTGTCCTTGTGTGACGAGAAAATGGGGACGATCTTCACCTTAAACACCGCGTTCACCTCTTCGCTGTAGTCAGTTATGACGTGGCCCTCCTTCCAGAGCAATGCGTAGGAGCCGTTGATTTCCCTAATCATACTCGTTCCTGAACGCACCGCCAGAGTTGGTACATACTTTGTCGTTATCCAGACGACTTCTTCCGCGCCAAGCAGCTTCTCTGTGACGGCGCTCAACCGGATGAGGTCATACTTATTGAGGGTGGCATTTTCCTCCTGCCCGGCACAAAGCAAGACTTTGCCCCTCCTTTCCAGACGGATCTTCTCGCTTGGGCCCCCTTTACGGAGGAGTTTGTCGAAGAACAGAGGGTCTCGGAGCCCTGTCTCAAGAAGCAAGCCATCTATCTCATGCTGCGGATTTATAAAGGTATCCCATGTGTCCACCTTCCCGCATCTGCCTATAAGTAAGTTTGCTGCATCGGCTGCTTCAGCACTCATCAAATCCTTAATCACATGTCTTATGTGCCGAACCGTCTCGATCACATACTGCCTCAGCCTGGTTGCACCGGCTTCGGTTGCCGCTTCGGTTGCTGCTTCGGTTGTTGCTTCCGTTGTTGCTTGGGTTGCTGCTTCGGTTGTAGCGTCAGGTAGCAGCACATGCGCTGGAGGAAGGTAAGCGATCGCTATGTTTCGAAAGTTCTTGCCAATGCGACTGACAATGTCCCTGAGTTGTGCTTCGCAGTGGCGCTTCTCTTCCTCCAGTTTGAAAGCCTCATGGCCGTCTTCCAAATCGTAACAATTATCTTGTCCAAGGCGCAACACGACGTGAAGACCGGCTTGCACAGCTAGCGACACCTGGTCACCAACGATCTTGTTCCACCCGGAACAGAGATGCTTTCTGTCGCCAGAACCTATTACGGCGGGCCCAGCCTGGAGCACCACGTAAGGAATACCATTCTTCGCTAAGGCATCGGGAGTGGCTTTGGGCGAAAGGCTCGGAGCGGCTAGTTTGATTCCCTCCATTCTCGCTATCCGCTCCTTCGTCTTGCGAAGCTCCTTGAGCGGCATGGAGATGACCACGTCACAGAGATCTCGGCCTCCGCTCTCTAGAAGATTCTGCAGGCAATGGCTAATTTCGCTGGAGCCCCCCCAACAATCGACAATCAAAAACTTCCTCCCCGACATCGATCTTTCCCACAAGGCTCCAAACGCAATTTCGCATGCCCTTCGGAATTCAGCAAACCGGGAGGCAAATTGCTCTTTGTCGACGCAGCCACCTTCCACCTCCTTCCTCCCAAGCCATCGCTCCATAGCGAGCTTCCATCCTGATATAACACTCCACAGCCAGCGCGGGCAAGAAGACTCCCTCTTCTCCACTTCGTAGATGTACTTCTTCCACTGGTTCCTCGCGCTCCTGACAGTGAGCATCTCGTCAAGCTGTGCTTCATTGGCTGGTACACTTTCCGCTGACACGGGTGCATTTCCCGCCGAGTCGAGTCGCACAGTTGTGCCGTCTACATTCGGTTGCCTCATAATATCCCGCTGCGTTTCTGGCGGCAGCCCGTCTACAGAACAAACGATACGCACCGCTTGTGCCACGTGGGGGCTGATTTTCATTAAAATCCACCTTCTAATGAGGGCGTGAGTGGTCTCTATGGCCGCAGGAAGACGGTCTTGCATCGCCACACTCGGTGCAGGCCTGAACTCTACCACAACCTCCCTCCCTTGAAGATCAGCTCGCTTGAGCTCTTCCGCCCAGCGCGAAAGCTGTCTCTCTATTCGGTCTTCTAGCCTCCCTGCATCCCCGCATTCCAAAATAGGAAAGATCGTCACCATCCGTCGGTTGTTCACCACCGGTCGGTATTTACTCTCTTCGACTACAGCACCTCCCTTCCAAACCATCTCAACAGAACCAGTCCCTTCCTCGAGGTGCACTCCAGATTTTTCTCTCGTTGCGTACCTCACAGTCATCCAGAGGACCTCTTCACCATCCATCAGGTCGCTGCTGATGCCGTGGAGCAATCGTATGTTACGCTCGTCGAGAGTGACAGGACCGCTCGCCGCGTGGCAGAGTAAGACTTTGCCCGTCCTCTCTCGACTTGGCGGACAAAGCTTCCCGACGAGACGAGGGTCTCGGAAGCCACCTTCCAACAGCAGGCCATCAACCTCTTCCTGCTTAAAAAGGGCATTCCACATCTCCATAGCCGCGCCTCCGCCGATAAGGATGCGCGTTGTCTCGGCAGCTTCGGCGTTCACCTCGTCCTCGATCACCTTTCTTATGTGGCGAGCCGTCTGGACTACTACGGGATCGTTATGCTGATGTACTTCATTCTGATGCCAGATAGATGCCCCTTGTCCAGGCAATCCCTCTGTCCAACACAAATTCGGCGGAGGAAAATAAGCGATCGTTATATTTTGCCAACACCAACTGCCCCACCCAATCGACTTTACCAAGTCCTTGAGCTGCGCTTCACAGCGACGATTCTCCTCGTCCAAATCATAAGGCACAGTGCTGCTCTGCTCGTCTGGACTATCTTCACGTTCAAGACGCAACACGACCTGAAGACCAGCTTGCACAGCTAATGACACCTTTTTTCCACCAAGCCTCCTCCACTCCGAGCACAGAGCAGCACGATCGTCGGAAGACGACAGGGGACTTGCCGAGAGTACCGCGTAATGGATTCCGCTCGTCTTTACGGTGGCCGGAGTAGCAATGGAATGATTAGACGACAGGTCGGTCGCGGCTAATTTGATTCCCTCGATGATGCGGTCCTTTGTCTTGCGAAGATCTTTGAGCGGCATGCAGACGACCACGTCAGAGAGATCTGGGCGTGCGTTTGCCCGGAGATTCTGCAGGCACTCATCAATGTAGTGCGACTCCCAGCAATCGATCACTAAGAACCTCCTCCTTCCCGGTATCGACCTCGCCCACGTGTCTCCAAAGGCGTATTGGCACGCCCTTCGGAAGCCGTCAAACTGCGTGGTAAATTGCTCAATCTCCACCCGGCCACTTGCCGCCTCCATCTCCATCTCAAGCCAACGCTCAATTTCATGCTTCCATGCCGATATAGTACTCCACAACCAGCACGGGCACAAAGACTCCCTCTTATGCACTTCGCCGATGTACGTACTCCACTGGTTCTTGGCGCTTCTTATCTCTGCGACTTTGCGCTCGTACACTCTTAGCTTCTCGGCAAACTGCTTCCAACCAGAAATCTCATCTGCAGAACGTTGCCCGGATTTATGAAACACAGCAGGAAGCGAACTCTGCCCCTCGTCAAGGCACAGTATCCCGCATCGGTCAATCGTTAGAAGAGGGAGAACAGGGCTATCGTTATGCTGCCCTACACGGACCACTATTTTGCCAACTGGAAGGGGTTCTTTTTTGACTCCTCTCGACTCGAATAACTCCAGACAAAACTGATCATCCTGTGGATCACGCGACCAATTACTGAGATCCGGCAATACGTAGCTACCAGGCCTCTTACGCTGCTGGAAAAAGAAGTATGTCTTTTTCCACCGATTATAATACTCGATCGTTGTAGCATGCGTCTCTGTAACCAGTTGGCTCCAATCACCGAAGAGAGCTGCGCCGCGCACAAAGGCTTCGTCTTGATATGGGTGCGCCTTCGGCTCCAGGGAGAAACTCTTCTTAAACGTCTCAAAGATCCTGGGAATGCGTGTTGACCCACCGACAAACACAGCTTCCTTCACATCAGTACTCTTTGTCTTCGATTCCTGTAAGAGTCGGCGGACACAATCCATGCACTCGTCTACTAGGCTCTTACACTTTTTCTCGAATTCGGCACCCTGTATTGTGACCTTGAGTTCGTTATCGCTGAGGATAAACTCAAGGTCAACCTGCGCGTCTTGTAGGATAGTCAGCTCTTCCTTCGCTTTTTCGCTCGCTGACTTCAGTCCCTTCAGCGTGCTCGCCTGCATTTCCGGAGCAAGATGAAACTGCTCCTTCACGCGATGGAGTATCAGCTCCATCATCTTGTGGTCGAAGTCCATGCCTCCGAGACATGGATTGCCGTCCACTGAGTCCACGATTACATGCCCGCCGGCTATCGTTACGAGGGCAACTTCGAAGTTCCCTCCACCCAGGGCGAAGACAAGCACCTTAGCGCCTCGCGGACAAGGTTCTCCAGCAGAAACGCCTCTCCAGCCTGAGGAGATCAATCCTGCGCACTCGGCGAAGGACAGAGCAGCTGCCGTCGATTCGCTGACGAGCTGGACATCCGTGAGCCCTGCGATCTCCGCCGCCTGTTTGATCCCTGACCGCTGCCTGTCGTTGAAGAGCGCTGGAACGGTAATGACAGCGGCATGAAGGTCATCGCATCGAAGAAAGCGTTCAGCGTCGCTCCTCATTTTCGCGAGAAGCATCGCCAGTATCTGCTCAGGCGCCAAGTACACGACACCAGCCTCCGTAGCCTTCGGCTCATCCTCGGCTTCCACAGGACGAGCGTCGTTCTGCTGAAACTGCCCTACAATGTTTGACTGAATGTGATCCCCATTATTTCTCCTTAAAGAAGATAATAGTTCACTCCTTACCTCCACCATCGCCTCGCCCATGCTTCCCTTGACGATCTCGAACGGCCACCATTTCCGCTCCTCTTCTCTGATCGAGTCGTAATCCCGTCCGATGAGTCGTTTCATCCCGTAGAGCCAGTTTTCGTGTCCCCGCTTCACTTGTATCCGTGTTTGTTGGCCGACCAGACGCTTCTTGCCCGTGAATGCGACAATAGACGGAGTTGAGCGTTCGCCGGACATGTCCGGTATGACATCGACCTCCCCATCGCGACACACTGCCACCCGACAAGAAGAAGTACCCAGATCAATCGCTATGCGGCGTGTCATGCTAAGGTTGGCCATCTCATCGGAAGGCACCGCCAGCACGCGAGAAGACGTACCTACATCAGGCGGGAGGCGATTTGAGTGCGAACGAAGCTGCTGTCCAGCAACTACCTTTCCTCCCCCGACCCCGGCTTTTGGTTCCGCCACTCCAGTACTCTTGCTCTTATTCATTTGTGTGAACTTTCTCTGTAAGAATCCAATGCTTCGCGAGTTGTTATCTATTCCCTTTCCCAACCCGCCCCACATTCGTTTGGATAGTACTCCTAATCCCCCTCCCTCGATCTCACTCTCCTCTCAGTTTCCTCTCCTTCCTCTCTCCAGCGACTATCAAGTCGTGTCGTCGTTCGGGACGAACAAATATGACCACTATAATGACCCCTATAATGACGCCTATAATCACCCCTATATTGCACTGGCACAGTGAGAATCCACAGACTCTTCTCCCTGTTCTTCCCCCTCCTCCCCCTACTTGAATAAGAAGAAGCTAAGTTAAATTAAAGGAACTCAACTCCTCTGGTTTGCTACGAACACGACTACCAGTTCTCTTCTACAACACTATTCACGTCTACCGTGTCCGCCCGGCTTAGGTCGTCCTCCCCTTCCTGCTTCGAGCACCACTTCCTCTTTTCAAGAAGACGCTTTTATCTCTATGTCTCCATCACTACTCTCTTGTCGCTCTACGTCATCCGCTGTGCGGAAAGAGTAAAAAACCTTCACGCGAACCCCGCTTCTGCCTCTTCTCTTAATTTCGATCTTAGAGAGCAAAGCCAGACGGTGGACAAAGCTCTAGGAATCGCCGCAGCTGCTTCCTCTCCCACACGCCTTGGGCCGATTGCTGTGGTCTCCACAGGGAGAACCGTAACCAAGCCACAATCGACACAACCACTCCAGTAGACAAGTACCAGCCAGTCTCTTTCCGAAAATAAGCGTACGTTGCAAATGCATCCGAAAGCGAAAATGTACACCGGTGAAACGTAGTTATCGCGATGAAAAACAGATTATCATTGTTTGTACCATGAACAGCCGTCGAAGCAGAGCCGCTACTAAACAGGTCAAAAGAGCATCTCTCTCTCTCTCTCTCTCTCTCTCTCTCTCTCTCTCTCTCTCTCTCTCTCTCTCT